AGGGAAACTTGGACTTGGGCCCAAAGTCAGTGCTTTCCCAGTCTGGCTGAGCAAAGGGATTTTTTGCCGGAGTGGGCAGTGGAACTGCTCCGGAAAGTTTAAGTTAGGGCAGGCAGGAGGATTTCGGGTCTCTTGTTGGCCAGGTGTGGCCGGAGAGGGGGGGACGCCTCCCGCTTGAAACTCTGTGTTTCTGCCTGAACCTGGTAGTGTCTGGATTGTGACACAAGGTCTGCAGTGTGTGTGTGTGGCTGTGAGTTCTCAGGTTAGATCTGTCGTTTGCCTCGTGTGTTGTTTGTTAACATGGGATGTACACAAGCTAAAGAGGAGATTCCAGAGGGAACCCCTCTTGCTTTGGTTTTACGGTATTGGGATGATTTAACTGGCCCTGAGACATCTTTTTAAAAGGCGGGAGGTAAAGTTAGACTCTCTATGGATGTTTGGCCCTATACCGGGAAAATTTAGGAGGAATAGCCTGGCCGAAATTTGGCTCTTTATGAGGCAAACACAGTGTTTCATCTTATGACAAATCTCTTCATAAGGAGGAAAAGTGGTCAGAATTGCATTATGCAGAATTATTCTACCTTTTCTTTAACCCGTCCGAAATTGAGAAAGGTATATAAAAAGGACAAAGTTAAAACAGAAGCAGAACTCACAGAAATGGCATTAGAGGAGAAAAAGAAAATCAGCTAAACATGATCCTAACAGTGAAATTAATACTGAAAGCCCTGGAAATGAAGATCTGGAGCTTTAATTCCCCAGATATGAGAATAATAGCTTCCAGGACCCTTCCTGGGTCCGGCCGTAGTGGGGCGTCGGTCCATCAGAGCGGGGGTAGCCTCGGGGCAGGTCCTGCCAGCTCGGCAGGGACGGCTGGATCTGCAGTGCTGGGTCCAGTTGCTTCGGGGGCCCCGGGGGCAACGGGGGGACAGGTTGGGACTGCTCCGGGAGGAGCGGGGGTCCTGGGAACTGCTGTTGGTGCTCCGGGACCCGAGGGGCCGGAGCCGGCTGTTCCAACCGGCACGGGAGCGGCGGGAGCCGGGGCAGCCTCTGCCCCGGCTGTGCCGGGAATTCTAGCACCGGCTGAACCGGCGGTAGCCCCTCCCAGAGCTGCGGAGCCAGCCCTTGTCGAGGCCGCAGGGCCGGTCCTGTCTGAAGCTGCGAGCTCCCTGGGTGTCGGTGATCGAGGAGCGATGGTCCCTCCCGAGGCTGTGGGGCTGATCCCGCCTGGAGCTGCGGGCTCTGCCAGTGTCGGGGTGGGGGCGATAGTCCCCCCCTGGACTGCGGGGCCGTTCCTGGCAGGGGATGCAGGCCCTTTTGGTTACGGGGGGGCGGTAGCGCCTCCCTGGGCTGTGGGGCCAGTCCTGGCTGGAGCCGCGGGCTCTGCCGGTACCGGTGGGGGGGCGGCGGCCCCCGCCGGGGCTGCTACAGACAGCGCGGGCTCAGGTGCTGTGGGAACAGAAGGCTCAGACCTCAAGGCTGCGGGAGGAGGAGCGGGGGCAGTGTCTGCAGCCGGGGTCCCTGCCCCGGTTGACAAGGGACCCTCCAGCTCTGCCATGAGGGGCGGGGACGAACCCACCCCCATCCCTTCGGCACCGCCCTATCCTACGGGGAAAGGGGGGGACCAAGGTTTAGAATTACAGCATCGGAAGAGGAACAGATTAAAGTTTACTGATACAGGCACAGAAGTTTCTAACGATATGTTCTTAATTAAATTCCTTAAAGGGGGGAGAATAAAACTTATCACCCCTAACACTAAATATATCGAGGTAGCTACCTTTTTCATACAGGAGAACCACGGAGAGATCCCCGCAGAGGTTGAGAATGCTGTGACCCCTTTAATGTGGACTAACAAATATCCTGGGAAGTCCAAGCGAGCAGAACCCGTAAGCATCATGCTCAAGCCAGAAACAACACCGGCTCTACCTTTCCAAGTCCTACTGACTTCCCTCACTGCTGTCAAAGTTACTGACAAAGGACCCTAGTTTCATTACTCCAGAGTGAAAAAAACTTCAATTCCTAGAACTAACAGCAAAGCAAAACCCGACTCAGAAGAAGAAGATGTGGCATAAACTGTTTCTGCTGTACATGTTATCTGTACAGTCAAAAACTATGAATTAAGTTTGGAGCCTAATTTACATTTAGCTTTAGTAAAATGCACCTGATATTATTTGTGAAAGTAAGTACTGAATTTGCACTATGAATTTGGCTGCAATTCGGAATCAAACTAAAATTCTACATCAGGTATCTCTGGACAATGTCTCACTGGGTTTGGGAGGCACTCTCCACAAACTTACTTCATGGTTACCGAACTGGACGTGGATTAAACAACTGTTTCTATTGGTAATGTACATACTTAGTGTTTGTGTAATAGCTTATTGCATGAACCAATGTTGTAGATGTTGGTCATCTTTTTGGAAAGTGATTAAAAGTAAGTAGTAGAGATTGGACAAAATTTTTGAGTTTTGTCCAGTCTCTAAAGGGGGGACTGATACCTTGGAGTTCTGATGTTTTAATTTTTTTTATTTTTGTAGACCTTAGAAGTAGTTATGTAGTAAATGTAGATTTTAGAGTAGCAGCATATTATCCCTTTACCCTTAACACACCAGCTCAAACCCCTGTTACCCATTCCCATATCAATTCCCTAAATTCCATAGCCTGTTTAGTCTCTTTTTCAAGGTAGAATTGTAGAAGAACACCCTAACCCTACGGAACAAGATACAGCCATAGACCCAACAACCTTCAGGCCTAGAATTCTGGAAGGCCTCCAAGGACATTACGTGCTCTGAGGAAGATGAAGATGAAGAAGAGGGGGTCCCAAAACGCCCCCAGACCCAATTCCCAAGAGGCGTGGCGGGGGCAGAACCTGGGTGGTGGCTGGACTGGATTGGGCAAAAATCATTATAAAAACTGTGGACATCTGTATTTCGGGAGCGCGCGTGCTGAGGGTATTCCAGAAAGCCTGGGGGCTCATTAAAACTTTTGTATCCTTATCTTATCTCCTACCTAATTTGGCTTGGAGTCTTTTTTTCCCCACAGCCATTTAGGCAACAAAACGCAAAACAAACCCGATCCATATTTTTGGGGAGGGACCATCCACCCCCTAGGGATACACAAGTTTTCGTTACAGAACCAATCAAGGATCTTGGTGTCATTTTGAGCCATGATTCGGTCATATTCATGTTGTGTACTCCACCTCTGTTCCACTATCCACCTTTGTTCCTGGCTTGGCCTACTATGATCAGAGAGGTTAAAACAACACAAGCACACTTGTCTTGATTATAGGTAAAAGCCATCCTGATATTTACCAACAGACCATTTAGTCAATTTTGACCAGCATTAACTTGCAATATCTTCAATATCTGCTTCCAATCTCCGAAGGCTAGCAGCATCAACTTACCATAATTAAATCTATATAACACATTCTCTTAAAATCTTAATATTCATTAAGTATTTAAGTTCACACACACAGATATCTGCGTAGCTTTTTTCACTCATACAGCTTTTTTCCCTCATACAGCTTTTTTCCCAGTCATTCAGAAGGTGGCCACCTCAATCATCCTTCATTCACACATAGCTGGGATTTTTATTATATTTTTCATTTCAACCACACATCTCAGATTCCTAAGTATTGTTGGCTTCTCAGTGTTTCTCAGTCTGCCATCTCTGGTGGTCATGTTCAGCAATTCCACCTGTCCTGAAAAGGAATCAATACAAGGAAACAAAAAGGCCTAACAAACCTAAATGAGATCCATTACTGATCCAGGACCTGTTTATGTACATGCATATTCTCCTCCCCTCTTTTGTTTTGAAAATATGCTTGGTGTGTAAAATGCTTTTTGACAATAATTTGATCTCTGAGTGAGTTAGCCTTGCTTTAGAATACCAAAAGCTATGCAGTATAACAGAAATAACGTCAGGTGAACTGAAAAAAAGGACAAAGAATCATCTGTGTACATTTTAAATTCCCACCTGAAATGTATCTTAACCTAATGCTAGAAAGGGGGAAAAGAAAAGAAGGTATAATCTGCAATTACAAAATCACTTTAACCAAGTAACCAGGATCAATTATAGACCTCGTAAACCTTTAACTATTCCCCAGTAAGTTCCACTTCTCTGTCATCTGTGACAAACTCTGCGAAAAACACCACCATGCACATGAAAGGTCTCCCTTTTTCCCTTTTTTTTTTTTGTTTTTTTTAATCAGCTGCAGTTTCAGCAGCTTTGTCTTAACACCACAAGTGCTAAGCCCTGCAGGTTTGGGTCCTCCGGGACTTCCCTCAGCGTAGGCAGCAGCGTGCCCCGCTCTGGTTCAGAGCTCGCAGTGTCCCGGCTCCGCAGCCCGGCGCAGCCGCATCAACAGGAGCCCCGCCTTCACTCTGCTCCCAGCATCGTTCTGCCTAGGCGTCCTGCTCTGTGCTGGCTCTCCTCCGCCGATGTTGTCTCTGTGCTCTCTGGATGTTGCTATCTCCGCAGTCTGGGGTGTATTCAGGTCTCAGTTTCTGTCCATCTGCCTCTTCCAGTTGTTTTCACTGTTAACAAAAGCTTAACAAACCGTTGCTCTTAAAAGTTCCATCAGTTCTAAGTAGTTACTGTGCAGAAACAAATGAGAGCAGTCAGACAATTTTACCGAGGGCCTGCATGGAGAAAAAAGGACACTTCAGAGCCGCAGCCGGCCCCTCGCTCCACGGTGGGTCTTGAACCTATGACCCAGGGATTCACAGTCCTGTGCTTTAGTGAGTGAGCTATCCGAGCTGCTTTGGGAATAGCTGCGCTCCCTTCAAGCTACTCAGGCTCTCTTGAACTAACACAGCAGCAACAGCCCTAGGAAGCTCCTGCGTTCGAAAGGTTTTAGACACCACTTTCACAAGCATTTGTTTTTCAGTCTTAGAGTAGCAATGCTTAACTCCGTGTCTTCTATCTGTGACTGCTGTAGTGAAGCTATAACTTGCAAAGCAAACATAGTTTTTGCCTCTTGTTCAAGTTAAAACATTTTTAAAAGTTCAAAGAATGTCGTGGGCGGGCTTTACGGAATTCCATAGTTGCCGTCCTTTGTAAAGCGGAGCGGTGCGGGGAGGGGGGGAGTGCTCCGGGCGCCTCTGCCTTCCCGTGTCTTCCAGCAGCCCTTTATCTTGCCTCGCCCTCCCGTCTCGGTCCGTCCTTAGGGCACACTGCTTGAGGTGGGAGGGGGTGGGGGCTGTTCGATCGCGATCTGAGGCGACCCCGGTATTTTAGTTTCGATTTGTACTTCAGGCAATTGCTTTTCATTACTGGGGTTCCATGGTGGTAATTCGTCATCTAAACCCCACGCTATTTGTTCTGCCTTAGTCATGACAGGACATGTCAACAGAGGATAATTAGGGGAGTCTCCAAGAGGGGGCCAGACACCCTGCATTTCAGCCGCGCGTTCTACCTTTGTTTGAGAGCTATCGGGAGGCCGCACTGCAGCTTTAACAGCCACGGCGACTTACGCCTCGCCATGTAGCCGTTCAATCAGTATTCGCAGAGTATGGTAAGTTTTGCTAATGTCTTTGCCCCTTTCGTTCCAAGTTGTACCGATTCCCACAAGTCCTCCCCCACCTTTTGCCACGTCTCAGTCTTATATATATCTTGCGTGGAGGAGAAAAATCCACGGCGGTGACACCAACATAGTAAATCTATCAGCGCCGAACGCGGCAACTGAGTGTCAGTCTTATCAGCCAATTTCATTAGGCTATCAACAACCACCTTTTCCACTGCTAACGCAGTTAATCTCATCCTGCTTATCTTCCTGACTCACCAGTCAGTCCGTGCACGATCTGCCTTTCTCCTGACGCCCAGCTATAACTTCGCTGGCAGCAGGATCCTCGCAGGCTCTGCAGTCCGATGTTCGATCGTCCCCAAGCACGTATGTCGGGGTTCACCAGATGCTGCAGGCAGGCAAGCGAGCGGGAGAGAAGCACACACACATCCACAAGATGCAAGTTCAAATCCAGTTTTATTATTGTTAAGCTGTACAATTTATATTATTCTGAGTCCTGTCCATGCGAACACGAGCACAGCACGCCATTGCGATTGGTCAACACGCACTGTCCACGCGCCCTAGGTAACCCACCGATTTGTGGTTTTGAAGCCCACATTTGCATACCGTTTCCGTTATCACTGTTTTTCCCATCCTGTTTCTGCTGACTCCTGCATTCCTGCAGCAGCAAGCCGTTTCTTATTTATCTTACCGTTACCTCCTGACCTTTTCAGAACTCAGAATAATCATGCAGAATTGCTAAGGCCCCGACACACTTCTTCTATTTATGCTAATCAATATGGTAACTATAGTACATTCTGCACTTAACATGCTTCTCAGTTGTGGATGCAATTTACTTTGGAATCAATTGTAAAGGAAGGAGATGAGGGCCATTTGAGCACTGAAATTGAAAAAAAGCAACCTGGGATAATACAATTAAGTTTGAAAAGGAATTAATTTCACTTATGACCCCATCAGCATATACAGCTTAGTGTTTGAATCCAGAAATACTAAGGCTGTACAAGCTGCAAGGCTAGAAAGACCAGCCCCTCTCCCAGTTAAATATGGGTCACTTACTAGAACACCAAGGTTCAATGAAGAACAAAATCGTTTATGGAGAGAAGGAAGAGCTTTAAGCATTCCCTAAGACTTAATGCATGGGCAAAGTAATGAGAACTTGCAATGGTTGATAGATTCAGCACAATAAAAGGCCCCCCCTGAGCCTCAAATTGCCCAATCCTCAGGGTCCCCATTCACCTCTGCAAAAGGAATTGTCAATGCTAAAAAACTGAAGGTAACGACTGGAATGGGTTCACTGTGTTGCATAGTTAGAAATAGTTTAGAACTCAGTAAAGAAAAAAAACAGTTATCTACTTACATGTAGGATCCCAAAGACAGAACCTTCTTTTCCTACTAGATACAGGAGCTGAGGTATCTCTTAGACCTTATGTCAGGACCTTAAGCCTGACCTGCAATGAGAGAACCATAAACAACAGTGGGCTTAGGGAATAATCCCATTAAATGTCACATTGTTAAAACTATGATCCACTTACCAGGAGAAAAGCGATCAACTAAAATAACTGCAGTGACAGGGCCTTTTGGTCAGAGTATATTGGGGTTAGACATTCTAAAAGGAAAACAGTGGTGACATCAAGGAAAAATGTGGAGTTCTGGCTATGATATTAATGATTACCAGCCTCACAAAACCAGGGATATCAATCTGGCGGAAGTCTATTTTCTGAAGAAATTAATTAAATTACCAGTCTCTGCTGTAGTAAACCATAGACAATACCCCATCTCTAATGCTGCAAAGTCAGGCACGTCAGAGGTAATCAGGAATTTGGAACCCAGGGGAATTGTGCACAAAACACATTTGCCTTATAACCTGCCTTTGTGGCCTGTCAGAAACCAAATGGCACCTGGAGACTAAGAGTAGACTATCGAAAATTAAATGCCAATACAGCACTGCTAGCAGCTGCAGTTCAGAATATAGCCACACTGAATAATGAGATACAAAGCAAGGGTCACAAATGGATGGCTGTACTGGATGTTAAAGCCGTGTTCTTTATGGTTCCTTTACATGAGGAAGAACAGAATCAATTTGCATTTACTTGGAATGGGCAACAGTATACCTTCAATAGACTCCCCCAAGAATACAAGCATTCACCCACATTGGCTCATTGTGCTTTAGCTACAGAGATGGAAAGTATTATAGTACCCCCAGAAATAACTGTCTATAGATGACATAATGATTGCAGGGGAAGACAGAGATAAAGTAGCAGAGGCTATTTATTGCGATTCATGGGCAGTGTTCCAGGGAGGATTTGGAGGGATGCTGAAATGGAAACCAAAACACCGTTGAAAGCTCAAAAAACCCCACAATATTTATTACAAAGAAGTGGCCAACAAAACGAGAAGCTGAGAGACAGGAAAGGAGAGGAGGGAAATAAGCCCTCAGTGAAACCACCACTCACGCAGGTGTGTTTTATGAGGTTGTCTTACTGACCCAGAATGAGTAGAATTCCCCATAGCAGAGGCTTCATCCTCAGAGGGTCAGCAGGCTCACAAGATAGTGGGCGTTCCCACAAAAGGCAACGTTCTCCTTCATATGAAGCTTGAGTCCCCGAGCACAAGTCACCTGTGTTTTTTATCCAATTTGTTGGTGATGTCTTCCTGGGCCGGTGTGGCCATGACTGCCCAGCTAGAGGCCTTAGGTCCCTCCCCCCATTATGTAAGTGGTACCCTTTCTGCACATGCGTGTGTACAATGGAACTTCCCTGCGACTGCATGATACACCTTGGTGGCTCTTCCCTAAATGAGTCTGGGGGCTTACTTCATCACCCTCCTCTTCATTTTCTCCTTCAAATGCCCTTGGTGGGCCATCAGCCAATAGCGAGATACCAATTAATTTTAGTTTATGCAAAGTGCTGCCTTCAAGGATGAAGTTCTCCTTTATCAGTGCCTGTTTTCTCATAACTTGGCAGGAAAAAAACAAACTCTCACAGGTGTCTGGGTCAAACACAGACCAACAGTAGCCGTGTCTAATTAAGCACAGATACAGGCAGTGTATAAGGGAGCCACTGATTGGATAATGTTCTGGGAAAGAAACAATTGGAAAGTGAGTAACATAAGTGTATGGCAGAAAGAGGATTGGCAAGAGTTATTAGAAATTGGATGGAAAAGGCCTTTAGCCCTGTGTATTGGGTCTGGCTGAGCTGGAGTTCATTTCCCCATAGCAGCCCTCACAGTGCTGTGCTTTGCATTGGTAGTTAGAAGGGTGTTGATAACACACCAGTGTTTTGGCTACTGCTGAGCACAGAATCAGTACTGTAACATTCCTTCCCCAATCGAGGGCAAGATTCTGGGAGGGGACACAAGTAGGCCAGCTGACCCGAACTGACCAAAGAGATATTCCCTACCATATTATGTAAGCTCAGATATGAAAACTAAAGCAAGGAGCAGGAAGGCAGGCATTCATTGTCTCCAATGGCTGCCTGCTGAGGAACTGTTATGCATGCTGAAGCCCTGCTTCTTTTAAGTGGCTGACCATTGCTTCTGATGGGAAATAGAGAATAAACCCTTCTATGTTTCGCTTCACTTTTGTGCATGCAAACTTTTGCTTGGTTTTTCTTTAAATAAACTGCCTTATCCCAACCCACAAGTTGTTTTTTCCACCTTACTCTCTCCCCTGTCCCACTGGGAAGTGATAGAGTGGTTGGGTGGGCACCTGGCATCCAGCCAAGGTCAACCCACCACACCCTAAGATGGGTAAAGGCACATAGAAAGGGAAATGATCCAGCCAGTAAAGGGAATGCATACGCTGACCAACTAGCCCACGTAAATAAAATAGATATAGCAGAGTCAGATGAAACAGGGAAAATAGTTGATGATGGATGGGAAAGGCTAGCTGAATGGGCCCATATCAGAGGAGGGCATCAAGGGCGAGACATACTTTACCATGAACGTAGGGTTCATGGGTGGCTGGTGTCCTAGAGAATGTGCAAATGACTCATTAGCAAGTGCCTAGAATGCCAACTCAGGCTGATGAGAAATCATCGGGCTCAAGCAGACCTACTGCATATTAAAACTGACAGACTTCTGTGGAAAACATGGCAAATTGATTACATAGGACCACTGAGACCCGGTATGGGGAAGAAATATACTTTGGTGGGAGCTGAGGTAGTATCAGGATTAGTCATGGCAACAGCTGTAAGCAAAGTTACTGGTTTTAATACTGTGGGAGTGTTAAACAATTGATTCGATCATCTTCTTACTCCAAAAGAAATTCAAAGTCACAATGGTAGCCATTTTACATAAGAAGACATACAAAATTGCACAAGAAAAGAAGGAATACGGTGGACCTTTCATGCACCATATTTCCCATGAGCCAATGTGATTGTGGAAAGAGCCAATGGCCTGCTTAAAAAACGACTGCCCTTGAAACAGGCACACTGGTTGTCTGACCTGTCTCAGGCAGTTTATCGCCTAAACAATGGATAGGGAGAATGGAGAACCCCCAAAACTAGGGCTTTTTTCCCAAATCCAAGTGACAAAGTCACCCCAATAAAATGAAGCTGGAAAGCAATTCTCTGTGATATAAGTCTGGGGCAGTCTGTAATGGCAGACCTTCCAAAAATAGGCCAGGTACCCATGATATTAGAACATCAGTGAGGTCCTATGGCCTGGAAGGCCCTGGATTCCTCAGGGGCAATTCATCACATTGTCACTGTTATATCATGACTGTCAGTAAAAAGCTATGAAGGCTGATTCAGGGCAACATAAGAAAGCTCTCATCTTTATTATTCTCAGCTCCTTTTTATATCTTTCTCAAAGCAGCAAGCAAGCAGTAAGCAAACAGTAAGCAAGCAACAATGTTTTAATTGGCTATTCATTATTTTATACATTTGGCAGTAATCATGAGATACTTGGAGATGTTCAAGGTTAAGCTTGCAATTCTCACACCCAGAACTTACAGTCTGTCTTTGTTCTTTAATTAGGTTGTGTATAAGACTTACTTATCTTCAAGAATACACTTGAAAGTTTGCCAAGTCAATCTCTTCTTCCAGGGAGCTAACAGACCCGCTGTTAACCCCTACATCACATCAGTTACAGGTGGATTTATCCCATCCATTAACCTGACTGTGCTGGGTCACTTACCATGGCACAAGTAGTTTTCCCGTTTTCCTTTGCAGTACCCATAGAGTGGCAAACAGCAGAATGAAGTGGAAAATCCTGATGTTCATTTCTACAGTCATCACCCAACTAGGAGTCACTGGACTGCAACTGACAGTGATGGATCCCATCACAAGAACAAAAGGACACAGAAATAAGAAAAACATGATGTTACCACAGATCTCACCATGGGACGAGAATCTGCATCAAACCTTAGTTCAAAGAGTAATATGGATGATCAATAGGACAGACTGCTGGATCTACACCCATTTCCCAGAGCATTTTACAAAGGAAGTTCCATTAATAGGAATCCCAGTCCCACAAAACATCTCGTGGAGAAATTTATGGGTAAACACTTCTTTTGATTATCACACAAAAAACATTCAGGAATGGGAATTTGTAACCCCTATACCCACCCTATGGATGCTGAAAGAAATGAGGCTGCCACCACACAGAGTTTGATTTCAGGATTTGTCCGCCAATCTTTCTGGCGTTCCCCTTTTATTATGGTTCCTTTGTAAACAGCACCTAGTGTTTGTCTTTTAGTTAACTGGAATTCCCAGGATCGTTCTAAATGAGTGCCTTGATCCCACACATTCACCTCGCATCACGTGGTGGCTGGGATCAACCATGAGAGAAAAACACATGCTATGATGCAGACCACTCAAAGTGGTTTTTGCTTTGAGAACACAGCACTCTCTTTATCAAAAACACCAGTCAAGGCCAAAACACTCCTTTTTGATCCTAATTAACTGAATGCTGGTGCTGCTGGCTTAATTGGTTCCCACATCACCCCACCTTACATCAAATGTATACAAAGATGCAATCCTCCAAAGGGTTGAGGAAAAATAGATTACAAAACTAACACATTTGTAGAGAAGTATTCAGGATGTACAAATACAGTGAGAATTGGTTCCCAAAGTTTCATTAAGCATTGGCTAGCTCCTGCAGAAAAAGGATAGTATTGGATATGTGGAATGAAAGCTCAAAAGGTTCTACCACAGGACTGGTCTGGAATTTGTACTCTGGTAATTGTAGTCCCTAACATGACTATGGTAAAAAACTTAAGCAATAAAGAAGGAGTATTTCTCCGAACCTTTATGAAGAGGACAAAGAGAACACACAATCCACTGATAAACAAACCAACTTCATTCCAGTCCTTTGGTTAGGTGTTAATGAAATAGAGAAGGTATTAATCAATGTTTCAGCAACAATAGAAATAATGGGAAATAAAACAGCCGATGCCATAATAGCACTGCAAGAGGAAGTTTCACAATTGGCTAAAATTGCTATCCAAGATAGAATGCCATTGGACACAATACTAGCTTTACAAGAGGGAGTGTGCACAGTAATAAACACCACCTGTATGTATGTAGATCAAGGTGTAAGAGTGTCACATTATTTAAATGAGATCTGGAAACAAGTACAAATATTGCATGGAGTACAAATGGATCCTTGGGTTTTGCTGCAGCATGGAAGTGGCTTACATCCTGGTTACCAGACCTGGGGAGTTGGTTCAGGAAAATAATAGGATTGATTTTTGCAATTGTATTAACATTTGTTTGTGTGTTTGTTGTAATCCAATGTCACTCTTTATGTTTTACTAAAATAAGTATGATGAAAAAAGGTGCATATAAAATTGCAAGGGCTAAGTGTTAGGCCACAGGTATTTCAGTATTGCTGTGTTAGTATTAGTCTAAATTGTCAATATATTAATCGTGTGCAGTAGAATTGACTTGATTTTAGCATTTGTTATCACCTTTGGGAAGCCATTTTCTACACACATGGAGGCAAGAGGCATTGACATTGACACTCCATGAGAAATGGCCAAATGTGACCAAAAGATATGGGGTGGAATCTGATGGCAATGAAAGATAGTCAAGATAGATAGTCGGGTCTTCGTGTGCATCCTCCACACACACACACACACCTCCTCTCCCTTGCCATCCCTGATAGGCAATATGATTTATCCTAAGATAAAAACACCAGGTAGGAATTAGGGTAGGATGAACTCTCTGGATGGTTACATAATGAATGCATTCCAGAAATGGGGGAGCTGTGATGAATGTGATTGACTTTGGTACATACTGGCCTGCAAAAGGGTATAAAATGCTGTTGGAGACTGAGTCAACTGGGTAAATTGGTCTTCCACAGTTGCAGGCAGGTTCCAGATGGATACTCTCTCCCCCTCACTGGGCAGGGATGCCTGCAAGGTATGTCCAGACCAAAGACAGGGAACACTCACTTTTGGACAGGTGTGTTGATACCAAAAAAGCAGGAGAAACAAACTCCTTAACACCAATTTGTAGGTGTTAAAAAGGGCATTCTTTATTCAGCACACTGGATGTTTGGAGACAGCTCCTCTAATCGAACATGCTAAATGACAGAAAGACAGGGCGTTTTATTACACATACTATTTATATATTCATTAGATATTCTCACTCAATACATATTCATTACTTGGCTTTACATAGTTGTACCCTTATAGGAAGTCCTTATTTGGTCCTTCCGGTTCTTCTTCTTTGGTTCTTGAGCAAGCACAGTGTCAATGTGTTTTACCACAAAAATTGTAATGTTTGTTTTTTATTTTATCTAGGTACACAGAGTTCAGCTTACATCTTGTTTGCTTGAGTTACATCCCTTATCTAATTCTCAGGGACTTCTCTAAGATTATATTGTTCCTTATTTGGCCATATCGAAATGCTGTGAGTAATGTTTCTATTTCTCCTATCAGTGTAAAAGCATTAAGATCTGGTCACATATGGAGATAAAATCCTAAAGTAGCTCCATAGGTGCTTTGTTGCTTTGTAATTGTGTATTCTCCGAGGCCAAAGACTGTAAACCTGCATGTTTCTAGCCAAACTTGCTTATATTATAACCCTTTAGACCTGCTTATATGATATACTGCATTGGCAATATTTAGATACTGTATTTGTATTAGCACTAAATCTAATCATCCATGTAATCAGTGTCATACTTCTCATGCCTGACCAAGGATCTTCTCTGTACTACTCTGCCACAACTATTCAGTCCTCTCGGGGGGAAAAGAAGGTCTCTAGATCTGATGAGAAAATGACAGGCAGTATGGATATTCCAAACTCCATGACATGACACTAGCTATTCTAACTCCAGCAACAGGCACTGCAGACACTCCAACCCTGGCAACAGGCACTGCAGCAAAAACAGAGAACCAACCTTTGCCAGTATCAGTCACTCATACACAAGAAGAAATGATAGCAGGAAAGTTATGATGTAGTCACCATCATGGAATCGTGGTGGGATGACTCACCGGACTGTAGTGTTGCAATGGATGGCTACAAGCTCTTCAGAAGGGACAGGCAAGGAAGGTGGGGTGGCTCTGTATATTAGGGAGTGTTTTGCCTGTATAGAGCTTGAGGATAGTGATGATAAGGTTGAGTGCCTAAAGGTGAGAATCAGGGCGAAGGTCAACAAGACAGATATCCTGGTGGGAGTCTGTTATAGACCACCCAATGAGGATGAAGAGGTAGAAAAACTATTCTATAAGTGGCTGGCTGATGTTTCATGATTGTCAGTCCTTGTTCTTGTGGGAGAATTTAACCTGATGGATGTCTGCTGGAAACTCAACACAGCGGAGAGGAGGCAGTCTAGGAGGTTCTTGGAGTGTGCAGAAAAAATCAACTACGACAGGAAGTTAAGTGAGCCTACTAGGGGTGGGGCCCCACTAGACCTGCTGTTTACAGGTGGTAGGAGATGTGGTGGTCAAAGGCCGTCTTGGGCATAGCAACCACTAAATGATAGAGGTTTTGATTCTTGGTGAAGGAAGGGGATCAACAAA